AGTTTGTTGTTCATTTCCGTTCACTGGGCGGACTGCAACCGGAAGTGGGAGGTGTCGACCGGCAGGGAAATGCATTTGAATCTAATATGGCGTTCACTGTTCCGTTTTCAGCTCGGCCCTGGACAAAGTTCGTGTTCGAGGCACGCCCGCTGACATTCTCAACCATTGGCCCCAACGCAGCTGCTCGCGTAACTAGGATACAACTGTGACTGCGACTGCGACTAAAACTGCGACTGCAACTGTATACAATTATAGTTGCAGCAGCAGTTGTTGGTGCTGTGCTGCATAAATTAACTTTGTGTCTTTTTATTCGCATTTAATTCACTTTTTATGCTGTTGCTGGCCGGGCAACATAGTCGACGTTGTCTGGGTTGTTGGTTGTTGGCGCATCGTCGACGTCATTTAGCGCCTTGTCGACGCTTTGTTAATTCAAAAAGTTTTAATAATTTTACTTTTCAACAGGCGCGGAGCAACAGTGCCTGGCAAGCAGGCATGCAACAAGTGTGCATAGTGCGTCTGTGGATAGGATTTCCCTCTATCATATTTTCCCTATTTCACTGTTTCTATTTTGCATAGCATTGGCCATTGCATACTTTAAAAGAGAAAAAGAGAGCGCTGTGGAGCAACTTTTAAATAATCACTTATGCAGCTTTCAAATTCTATAGCAGCAACTCATGAACATAATTCCTTGTGCTTGAACTTTGTGCTTAAGCGTACTCACAATTATTTACTTAATAAACTGTGTGGGAACCCAGAAAACTAAAATATACTATTGTAGTTAGATTATAAAAATCCACGCAAAGTTGTTTCCATAAGTTGTGTACTAAGTAGTAAGCGGGTCTTGTCAAATTGGAGTTAATGAAAATGCTTGACAAATACTCAAGCTGACAGGCTGATCCATAAATGCCAGGAGCTGACCACAACAACGCCCTCTAGTTGGCCACATCCCTGGCCTCGGCAGCCACTCAAGTTAATTCAATGCGAGGTCTCTCAAGCATACATACCTACTTACAAACACCTACACACTATGGTGTGGTATAGTGTGGCAGCCTCATAAAAGTGGCAACAGACACGGCACTTGAAAAACTCACACGGTCGAGCTGCAACTGGAGCAGGGGCAGAACAGGCAACAACAGCAGCAGCAGCTGCCCGACAGGGCCTGGCACTTGTGTGCTATATGTCGCGCATTGCTGTTGTTGTTGATGATTTTCTTGTTGCTCTTGTCATTTTTTATTTAGCTCATAGTTAGTTGAAGCTAGTTTGTGACAGCTGCCCGACCGAGTTCATTGCCGCTGTTCGTTATGAGCCCTTTTTATTGCCATTATTTGGTTATGTGAATAAAACCATAAATGTACAAGCAAATATATTGGCCTGAATTTCGGAACGGATCAAAACTTGTTCATCAAATGGTCATTGATGAGTTGTTGCTGCCAACTCTGTTGGTAATTAGTCGCGCAAACACAAAACTCAACTTCATAATTCAAATTTGGCAAACGAACGCACATTCAGACCGGCCTAATGCAAATTTATAGCGTTATGGTTCAGTGGTTCAATGGTTCAGTAGTTGAGTGGTAGGACTAGCTGAAAGGCTGACGACGAGGACTGTTTGCAGCGTGAAGTTCGTTACCATTGAAAATTGCACAATTTACAACGTCAGCAACGACTAGAGCGACAATTCAGCACATAAAGCACATCATGAGGCAATATATTAGAGTCCAAGTGCACACTTTCCGTCACCAAACGAGCATTGCAGTACGGTGGGCGTGGCCTTGTGACAGTGCCCTAACAACTCTCCGCACAGAGGCAATGGGGCGAATGAGTAACTGTAGCTGTAGCTCGGGCCAACGGCTTTTCTAATTATGTGCCACAAAGCGAGCCATGAAAATGTTGCACAATTCTTAAAAGTCTACCAGTCAGACATACAGGCATAGCTCAGACTCAAATATTTGTCAAATTTCTTAATAGCCCACAGGCAATGCCAAACTTGATCCAATTTATTAAGCATACACTTAAGTTCAAATTATTAAGCAAATGACTTGCCTTCAAAATGAAATATTAAAATACTTATTTAAGACTATCATGAGAGTTAATTTTTATTACGACTATATCGATACAGTACATATGTGCTGACATGAATAACTAATTTATAAAGAAGCCGACTGTAATAGATGATGGATTGACCACAACAGTATTTTCTGTATTATTAGAGAAAAGTTGGTAATTTGGTTTTTCTTAATTATATCTAAACAAATAGTCTTATTCTTAAAGATTAAAAAATATGCCTTAATACAGTTAACATAGCATTAATAGCCAACTATTTATCACTACCTATTATTAGATTTGTGAAAACCAGATTTATCCCGTTTTTTTTACACGCTTCTCAACTTCTTTTTTTATCACTTTATTTATATCAAAATGTCCCATTTACTAGGTAATAAAGCTTTACATTTACAGATATGCATGCAGCTGATGCTAATTTGATTATGCATTGATCAAAACACAAATTCACCTACACATATACATATACATATACATATACATATACATATCCATATACCTATATACATATACACACATACATTCGTGCTATTGCTGTTTTTGCAAGGCCTTTGCATATTAAGTAGATGTTTTATCGTTTATTGCGCACACAGACAGGCATAAACGTATATTGCTTACATAATTTAACAAACATTTTCATTTGGCGGGCTTGTGTGTCTTGCGAGCATTTACTTGCCCGGCCTGGCCTGGTCAAGTCGACGGGCCATGGATATATGTACACATGGCTACACACATGCTCCACCAATGAGGCATGTTTAATGATTATTGCATTTCTTATTTTTATTTATATTTATTTATCTTGGAGTTGGCATAAAAATTTCGCTAACCGCCGCTGGCGGCTTTTCTTCTCTTTTTTTTTTATACCCTGAATTAGTTGAAAATGGGTAAAAAGGGTATAATGTGCTTGTGCAAATTTATGTAACACGCAGAAGTAAACATATCCTACCTTAGTCTAATGAGTTGCCATCGGAGTTTAAAGCATGACTCAAAAATTATTAGAGCTATTTACATACAAATTGGTGTGTAGTTTGTATGACATAGAAGAGATTAAAAATATAGCCCATGGCTATGGAATTTTTATACACTTGGGTGCTATATTTATGGCCAAAAAGCTTTGTAGAGATCGGACTATAAATACCGATGCTAATCAATGATCACAGTGAAACCGCAGCGTAAATGGCGTGCGAGCGTACATTATTCAGCAAATGGGTATAGAAGGAAGCTAGAATTTATGAAAGGTGGCTTGGCACGAGGCTTAGCGTACTTTCTATTCGTCTACTCCCAACTAGAGCATTGTTTACTTGTTTTTTTTTTTTGTTTTGGCTACTGTTTTTATGGCCATGAACGTGGCGGAGCCCAGGAGCAGGTTTTTTTTGGGCCTGTAGCTGTTGTTGTTGGACGCAAGGTCCATTTGTTCTTTTGGCATTTAGAAGACAATGGGCATATTTTCGCTACTAAGCGGCTTAGCTCGTATCGCGGGAGTTACATACTGTCCTAAGCAGTATCTGTATTTATGGCTGTCTAATGTCTTGTTGCCATTTGTTGTGCACTTAAGCCAACATACGCTTTCATATGTTGGCCGGCTCTGGAATTGATGGGCTCATCAGCTGGGCTCCAGTTTTATGGCACGATGAACTTCGAGGATATAAGCTGCTTGACCCAACTGTACATAGTCAAAGCTTGGCAGCTTGAAGTGCATGTCGCCAGCATCAGCAAATGAGCAAAAACTGCACATAAATGGCAAAACTTCCGCTTGAACATCAAAGACAGTGCCGGAAACAGCAAGCACTGGAAACTGGGTCTGTCCAAACATGTCGCCAGCTTGGTGGCACTCAAAATAAATGCCAAGCAAAAAACATGTACACTGACATTGCTGACTCCTTCCAACTTGCTCCATCTATCTCTCACACATAGATACACACACACACACACACACACACACACACACACTTTTAATAAAGCCCCTCCTGTTGTGGTTCGTGTCACCCAACGCTTCATCGTTTGTAGGTATAAGTATTGTTATTAACCATTCTACACTTAAGCCTCGAGCCTCCAGCTTACTTTAAGATAATATGAACTATATTATTAATCATAATGCTTAACAGGGAGAATGTTCTTTAATTTGATATTTTTATTAATTTTATGATACAGCTAATAGAGTATATGCACTTCGTGGCGTTAATGTTAGCCATGTAATTCGTTTTTCCTTTAGTTCTTATTTCCCGACAAAATTGGCTTAAACTCTTGCAAGTTCATAAAACAAACAACAAAATATGAAAAGTTGCAAGTGGCAGCAGCAGCAGCACCACCAATAACTTTGCCATTGTCTGCAATGACGTTGCCTGAACTTGAAATTTACGTTAGTTAAATTATCAAGTTTGGCGGGGCGATGACTTGCCCCAAAAGTTTTCAAGAGAAATGCATTTTTTGATTATGATTTTGACCGAGCTTCGAATGCGTCCTACTGGACTCCTTCAACCAAGGCCAAAACGTGCTGCAATGTGTGGTTTTAAGAAATCTGCTCAAAGTGGTTTTTATGTGTGCTGCCACATGACATAATTTGCTATTAGCTGCTGCTGTATGTGTGTGTGTGTGTGTGTGTGTGATGGCGTCTGGCATAAACGCCGCAAAGTATACTATAATTCACTGAGGCACATTGCCACCTACACACACACACTCACAGACAGCTGCTTCAATACGTTGGAATAACCTATGTGTGTGTAATTTGGCTTAAGTTAACCAACAAAGTTGTCCCAGGTTACAAAAACTTGTTAGCCAGTTGATATGTGGGCGATTTAAGCGGGTTAAATGTGTGTTACAGGAAACGTTTACAATAAAATATGCACCAGAGTACGCGAACAGCCACAAGTTTCAGCTAAATGTATCAATTCTCAATAGATGCATACATAAATATATATGTATATATGTGTAATGTGTTGCTCTTTTTATTAATTTACATATTCCGATTGAATGTTTTTATCATTTCATTTATCAACTATAGGCTAGTTTATTATTAATGAATACATAACAAAACAATTTATCAAATAAGTTGAAATTTAAAAATTTTATGCGTTATTGCCAATGTTTTCAGACTAACTTCGATGGAGGTCGGGAACGGCGTTCTGGGTAAGCAGTGTCGGCAAATACTTTTCAAGCTGTGCACAATTTTCTTTTGAGCTCTTCGTGGGCGGGGCAGAAGGGGGAGGGTAAGTTGGATTCAATCGTTTAAATGTATGGAACACGACAACTGCGAGCAGAGCAAAACGTGTCTAATTTAAAATAAACTATATTAAATATACGTACGCATATACATATTCATATATAAATATAGAGGCTATTTAGTACTGATTGCTTACAATTTAAGTCTATTCCTGATTCAGGTTCTTGATCACGTAATTAACAATGAGTGCAAATATTGCAAAACAGATTATAATCACCAGGTTCGAATAGATCGACTGCCAATTTAAATAGGAATTCCGTGCGCTGTTCTTGAGCGCAGCGGCACCACCACTGCCGACATCCGCACTTGCAGCAGTACCTACCGCCAGCCCGTCACTGGGGCTACCATCCGTTGGCAATGGCAGTTGCCCATTGGCACTACTGGCATTTTTGTTACGTTTATCAATGGCAACGGCACTGCCGTTAGCCAAACCATTCGCGCGCGAAGAAGAGCTGGTGCCCGGCTTACCAGCGGTAGCTGCTGCCTGGGTGCTCTGTAAACGTAACTTTATCTCGTTGACAATGTCCGGAAACAGCTCACAGAAGTTGGCATTGCGCAGGTTAAATGCAAGCGATTTCTGGGCAAACATTTGCTTGTCATAGCTCGACGACTCTATGGAGCCCAGTGTGGGTGTACTCTCTAGCTACAAAGTAAAGAAAACAAAGGTCAACTAAATAGAACGAGTAGAATGTATATGCAGAAATCTTACCATAAAACTCAGCAGACCTGTGAGTATAGTGCCCACACACCAAGTCGGATTCCATGTGTCAGGATGAAAGTCTACAAGATATAAACGCTATTATTTTATCAGCTATAAAGCGGGTAAGTTGCCAAAATCCTTTTGAAAACTCTAGGATTGAGGCATCTGTCTATAGCCCGGAATGGAGTTAAAAATTACCTGAAATGCTTAAACACAGTCTAGTATTTGTTTTGAAGCGTCCATTCGGCGTTAGCATATAAATTGATGGTGGCTTAAAAGGAAACTCTCTTGGAAAGAGCAGCGTGCCGTGATAGTATCCGCCATAATATGGTGAGTCCTCGGGCCCTTTGACACAATAGTGCCATTCCAGAATGTTATTTGGCAGCGGCTCAGCGGTGATGTACGGCAACGGGTCGCGCTTTAAGCGCATGTAATCCTGTTTCATGCGAGACACGGCCGTGGGCTGTTTGCGGGCGGCCGACCCGGACGCCGTCGACGAGGACATTTTCGTTAAATAATTTTTGACCCGTTTGCTGTTCCTTGAAATGAAACTGATGCAACATAAATAAAAAAAAATATGTTGGCATATATTACACACGCACACTGACTAATATCTTTATAACATCAAATAATTGTGCTGATAACAATAATGTTAGTTGGCTATAATTGTCAGATTGTATTTTCGTGTATTGTGGGTGTGTGTGTGTGTGCGTTTGTGTAAAACACCCACTGCCAAGAACGGAAGTGCAAAAATTACACGTGGCCTATTGCATTGGGGGTGGGCACTCCTTAAGCTTGGCAGCCGTTTAATTTCCTGCTCGCCGTGATTTGCGCTCGTTTTGTTTGCCGCTAGTCAAGTTTACTTTATGTGCGGCGTGCCTTTTGTTAGTTGTTTGCTTAGCTCACCAATCGAATTGTGTTTCCTTGTTGTTGCTATCGTAATTGCAATTTACAGCTAGGTCACAGCTGCCCAGCGAAAATGTGTGAAAACAACACAAACACAGCGGATTGATGCAAGTTGCATTCGACTTTTGTCTTTGTTGTCCGAAGCCTATGATTTGTGTTTCTCCAATGTGCGGTCTTTGCTTTGGCTTAGCCTATTGTTAAATTATGGAATATTTCAATGTAAATTTATTTGAAGTTCGTAAAACTGCAATTTGTATTGTAAAAAATTTCTCTTGACGTCGTTCTAGGTAAATAAAGTTGTAAAGCGAATGAAAATAGTGTTTAATAACGTTGCTCGGTTGCTTTCCGATAAATCTTTTGTCGGTATTCATTTTTTGGTATTTTTTTATGAGTGCTGCCAACCTGGCAATGAATTTGAAAATATCCAATATATGTGTGCAAATTTTTTATAACGTACCTTTGCTTACAAAACAAGTGAGCATTAATTGTGAGTCAAGATCTTAAACTTTAGTCAATGAATAAAATATTACATATGTTGAAATTACCTCGAAAAACCTTAGGCTATCATATACAATAGAATACATTATTGTTGTCGATCAATTGATAAAGGCTTTGCAATATATATGTACATGTGCGTATACAAACATACAAATGATAACCCGCTATTGCGATTAAGCAGTGTAGACTTTGTTGTTGGAACATTGAACGGCAAGAGTGTGGTGAGGGCTATTACGACGCTCCAAAGACTAGATTGCTTATCAGAGCGCTGGGCTTGCCGACGGCCAGATGAAAAACAGTTGCTGCTTGAACAGCGAAAAGTGCAGTCGGTGGTCGTTTCGTTAGCTATTAAATGGGATCTATAGGAAAAATCGGGTTTCTTGGCGGTGGCAACATGGCCAAAGCCTTGGCAAAAGGCTTTATAGCCGCAGGTAAACCCATTTCGATTACTTTTATTACCATTATTCAACTCAGAAAACTGTTGACCAAGGTCTGACCAAACCCAGCGGCATCATAGCCAGTGTACATCCGGCGGACAAGGTATCACAGCAATCCTTTCAATCTCTGGGCATCGAAACACTAGTCGAGAACGCACCCGTCGTGGAGAAATCTGAGATTGTTTTTGTCTCTGTCAAGCCGCAGGTGGTGCCCAAGGTGCTAGCAGAGATTAAGCCGTTAAGCGCAAATAAGCTTTTCCTTTCTGTAGCCATGGGCATCACATTGAAGAGCCTCGAGTCCAGTTTGTCAACGCAATCGCGAGTTATACGCGTCATGCCAAATACCCCGGCTTTGGTCTGCTCCGGCTGTTCAGTCTACGTACGCGGCAGCCAGGCGAGCGATGCAGATGCACAAGTCACCCAGCGCCTACTTGAGGCTGTTGGCACGTGCGAAGCCTGTGATGAGTCGCAGCTGGACATAGTCACAGCCCTGAGTGGTAGTGGGCCCGCCTATGTGTTCGTAATGATCGAAGCGCTAGCCGATGGAGCTGTGCATATGGGCATGCCCAGAGATCTGGCCTATCGCTTGGCAGCACAGACAGTTCTGGGTGCCGGCCACATGGTACGTGAAGGCGCCACACATCCCGGGCAGCTAAAAGACAACGTAACCAGTCCGGCTGGCTCAACGGCAGCAGCATTGAGGCATCTCGAGCGATCAGGTACGTACATAGCATCGCACTTGATAAAGAGAAGGCGATTATCACTGCACTTTGCAGGTTTTCGTGCGGCAGTCGCTGGGGCGGTGGAGGCTGCAACGCTGCGCTGCCGGCAGATCTCGGGCGAGCAGACGTAGAAGCAATAAATAGGTTTTGTTTTTTTGTTTTCATAATAATTAAAGTACTCAACACATTTTGTCATAAAACTTTTACTATACAACTGAGACTTAGAACTTTTTGCGCTTCTTGGCGCGTGCCAGTTCATTAAGTTCGCCCTGCTGTACGGAGGCTTCCTGGTAGATACGTTTGACCTTTTCATGACGTTCCTTATCACTGCAATGGAAAATTTTAAAATGTTAGCAAAGGTCTTATGTTGAAATTCGCATACACTCACCTTTGTAACTGCTGTTTCAGCTTCAGATCTTGCACAAAGGCTGTGTCTCTACGTATTTCGCGAATAGCGCCCTTCTTTTCACGCTTGATTTTGTGCAGCAGCTTAGCGCGCTCCTCCTTCTGTTTGGACATTTTGGGTCGTCGCTTATCGTCATAGACCACCTCAAAGCGAGGCTCCAGCAGACGCAAGGCCTTTGGCTTCTTGTCGGGTGGAGCCAGAGGCTTCATTTTCTTCGCCGCTACACACTCCAGCGTAGACTTTGCTTCTGCAAAGTGCTGCTGCACATGTTTGGGATAATGCTTAAACGGCAGAAGTTCCATTAGAGGCAAAAAAGGACTGGCCAAAAAGCAGGCTCCCGTGTGCTCGCCTATCTGCTCCTCAAAGATTTGCTTAACCAGACGCAACGTTATGTCCAGAGCTCGCACCTTAAAGTCCAAGGTTATTGTGTGCGTAACCAGATCTGCAGCCTGCAGCTTCTGTGACTCAAGCGTTTTACTTTCGCTCGTGGCTGGTATTGCCAACAATTTGCAAAAGGGTCCATCGCGCTCAAATGGCGGCGCAATCTCTATCTGGTCAACCTGGGGCTTGGGTATGGCCATGTGCACTATGCCCAGCAAAAAGTTAAAAACTGCCGGGAGCAGGCGCTTGGAACGCGACCCGAACTCCAGGGCAATGGTGATTATAAACAGACCCATGGCAATGTCCTGGCGGGTTCGTACGCGCGCTCTCGACAGTATATGCTGCATGAAAATGTACGTGGGAGTGGCCAATGGATGACGAAAGTCCGAAGTGGAATACAGATTCGAGACAATCTTAAAGTAGATAAGCGTGTCTAGCGTAGGATACACTTTGTGATTCTTCCGGTACTCAGCATACTTTTCCCTAATCACATCCAGCAATGTATTAGACATGCGGTCCGGATTCAGATGTGTGAGGTCATACAGATGCGGCATAAGCTGCGCAACCAGCTGGAAATGTAAGCGAATGTCCTGCTCGCTGGCATCCTCGAACATGTCCTTAATATACTGTAGCAGAAACGCGTAGAGTTTAACCACATTCTCACGATTAACGCCCTCCAGTTTGGGATGATTGCACTTAATGATGCGCTCTACAATGGTGACCTGTTGCGTAGGCGTATACTTGGCCAGAAGCTCGGTGAAGTCCTCATATGTCTTAGCCATTTTAATAGTGTAGGGTATGCTGGTGTCTACCGTTTCAGAAGTTTTCTGCTTTTGGGGTTTGCTTTTATTTTTGGGTTGTGGTGCTTCATCTTGATCCGATTCGCTGTCCGACTCTTTCAGGTCACTTAAGTTATCCACATCAGAATCGCTATCAGTTTCTTCTTCATCATCATCGTCATTCTCACCATCTTCTTCACTCTCGTCATCTTTTTCATCGCTCTGCCCGGTTGCATCACCCGCTTCCTTTTTGCTATTCAGATGCGTGCCAAGGTTGCCGTCCAAATCGTAGGCTAAAATATCGTCGCCATCATCCTCGTTGCCCGCCGCAAAGTAGCCATCATCCAAATCGTCAGCTGATCGATGTGGGATCTGTACATTTGCTTCCTGCTCTTCACCATCCGCTTTCATGCGCCGCAACCGTTCATTTTCCAGTTTATCCAGACGAGCAGCCTCCTGTTTGGCCAGCTCTTCGGGGTTTATGAGCTTGTCTGTGACACTGCCACGCGGTTCAAAAATCATCTCTTTTAGCAGCTTGTCATATGCATCTGGAGGAGGCTTTTCGTGCTGCTCATCTTTGGTTGCCTTTGCTACCAGCGGCAACAGCTCCTTGTAATTTGCATCTAACTTTTCCGTAAGATCATAGACTTCATCCTTATCCTTCGCAATTTCATTTTTCCGTCGTTTTTGTTCACTTATCATTTCTTCTATGGCCGTTTGACGATCTTCCGGCGTGTCGCCGTCACCGCCAAAATGCGCGGTGGAAGTAAACTCAGCTGTAAAACTAAAATAAAAAACCCATTTTATGACTATTATACTGCAAATACGTACCGTTAAGACCCTCATCGTCGATATCCTCGTCATCTGAACGCTCGTCTCTGTACTGCTCAATCTCCTCAAGCGTTTGACCTCTATGTGTGAGCAACTCGTCGTCATTCAAGTTAAACTTTTCTGCCTTGTTTGAGGCGCGCACTTGAGCCAATTTCTCAGACAGAAATCGTGCATTCATCACAGACTCTGTCAGCTGGTCGCCGCTTAGATGTTTACCAATGCGATGGTCCACAAATTTGTTGGTTTTGTGCTTAATCGCATATTGCCGGCCGAGTGTTTCAGAGCGTTTCTGCAGGGCTTTAGCACGGGAAACACCAGGCAAGCCTCGATCATGCTTGCAAATCCGACCTAGGATCTTAAATTTTTCCTTGTTCACGTGCACGTCAAACGGGTTCAAGCGCTTGGCAGTTTGGGCTATTGCAGTGTCGAAGGGATTACTGCTTTTAACTGATTTCTTAGAATACACTGCATCGGCGTTTGACTTTTTGGTCTTTGCACCCATTCTACTTATCTACTTAAAACAATGAGTGCATGCGGAAAATGAAAACAAATGCAGCACACGTGCGTTAGATCTATCGATAGGCTTAATCGATATATTATTAATGTTGATAGGTAAATATAAGCAACTTTAATCCGGCTTGTAAGCTTCTCGACTGTTTTTTTTTTTTCAAATTAGCCTAGCAAGTATTAAGCGAAATTCTGCTTAAAGCTGGAGTGTGGCACATTTAAGGTTAATATTATTAAATCAAATATTAAAAGAGAAAAATTACATGGGGGCAGAACTACAAAGGCAAGGTGAGCGGCAGGAAGGAACGGCAAGCAAAACTCTAAACTACTGCACGATAGTATATCGCTTAGAAAATATATCGCATATTTCACATATGCTATGTATCCGACTATGTAATCGATTCATCGCTGAAAATTATACAGCTCTACCAGCAAAAACATCCCTGTTTGGATATGTACATCTGTGTGTGAGGTTTTCGGCGAAAACCAGCGTTTAAAACTTTGGATATATTTGTAAATGTGCATATAAAATATGAAAATAGTGAAAATACTTGAGTTAAGCAAGTAACATCTCAGATATATATATTTAGTATTAACCTGCAACATATAGTTGCAGCAAATAATTGCCGCTTGCCACGCAATTCTGCTTTGATATTGTAATTGCATTGGTATTGGTGAGCTGTGTGAGGCCGCCGTGTACGTGCGGCACTTCGGCGGTGGTAAAATATTTCATTTTATGTAAACTGGACATAAGTTTTTGGAAAATCGTCGGGAAAATATAAGTTTTCCAACAATTATATAATGAGTGCAACGCCACCAGAACTGCTGCAGCTGCAGCTGCCCATCGGAGGTGGTAAGGAAAAAGAAGCCAACGGTGGAAATGACAATGACTACCGAAGTCGCGATAAGGAGCGTTCGCGTTCCAGAGATCGTGGCAGGGATAAGGAAAAGGATAAAGAGCGCGAGAAAAAACGAAGGTAAGTGTTGGATGCTCACAATTTTTCTAGTCGCTGATCGAGCAATATCTTTGCAGAGATCGAGAACGTGGCAGCAAGGATCGAGATAGCCGTCGACGTGATAGCCGTGAACGGGACAGGGACCGTGATCGTGGTCGTGATCGTGATCGTGATTCCCAATCGCACCGCAGCCGCTCAAATAACCATGATGACAGTGACAGACGTAAGAAACGCTCGCGGAGCAAGGATCGTGATCGCAGACGCGAACGGGATCGCGAATCACGCTCAAGACGCAGCGGGTCACGTGGTGGAGGAAACCGCGATGAATACGATCGCAATCGCAGACGACGCTCCAATAGTCGCAGCTATGACCGGCGTCGTAATGAAAGGAGCAATGAATCGCAACGGAATAGCCGAGAGCGGAGCAGTCGGGAGCGCAGCAGTCGTGAGCGCACATATGTGAATCCATTTGACACTTCGAACAGTCGCAACTTATTGCATGACCAGGAGTCTCGAATACCGTCTCTGTTCGAGCGCCATCACCAACAGCCGCAGCTGGAGTCTATTAGAGAGGAACCCAGTTCGCGCTTCGATCTTTCACAGACCATTCAGGATCTTATGAGCAATGTGGGTAACAACAAAAGCTTTGCATCACTATTTAGCAACCAGAACAGCAATGATTCCATGAGCAATGGAATCTCGGAGAACTCAAGTAGGTGTTGCGGAAAGATTTTTAAAACAATAATTGAATACTTATTTGGTTTAAATTGTCAGTGGACAGCGCAGCGGAACGCAAGCGAAAGCGAAAATCTCGATGGGGTGGAACTGAAAAGGACAAGACATTCATACCGGGCATGCCCACAATTTTGCCCTCAACGTTGGATCCGGCACAGCAAGAAGCCTACTTAGGTAACGTCGCTATATTCATATGAATTGTAGTTAGATAACAACTAAGTTAGTTTGTAAGGTTAGATATAAGCCTAATGACAACTAATGAGAAAAACAAACACAGCCACAAATAGTCGCGGGGAGATCACAGTAAGCGTTACCGTTATCCACCACAGTTAGAAGTCCATGTCAGAGGGCCGGACGTGCGAGCAAGCGTAAAACCACAACAAAATTGCATTGAGCACACTATAATAATCTCTCGTTCTCTTTTTGAAGGGATTCCGGCGTGTGACACAAACGACACGAGTTCCAAACGGCTAGATAATAACCTTATCTTATTGCCCAAAGAGAAATACATGAACCAATCCAATCAACCTACAAATCAAATAAATCGATCAATAATCTTATTAATTGTAACGCTCACAAATTTTCAGTTAGCTTAGGCACGCGTCGGCGCTGTCGTCTGTAAAACGGAAACACAAATATCTATCAGGCTCATAGAGAAATAATGTTATCGGTCTCCCCTAGCCCACCACTTATTGATATACAACATATATAAATCTGTTTCTTTCTCTCCTACAAAATTAGCATTTAACATTTACTAATGTCGAGGTTGCGCTCGATTTTCTTTCTTCTTCTCTAACGACTTCTAATTACAGTTCAATTTCAAATCGAGGAGATCAGCCGCAAGCTGCGCACTGGCGATTTGGGCATTACGCAGACCCCGGAAGAAAGGTTTGAAACTGTTTATTCTCACACCACACTCATTTATCTACCCCCAAAAACGAAAGTGATCTAACACAGCTATTTTCCGGATATGGATGCGGATTTAGGTTTTGGGATTGCACCACGATCAACGGATGATGCAATTTGTACAGGTTTTACGCAGCATGTTCTGCAATGATAACGTGAAAATCATGATAATTATTTTTTATATATACATATATTCATTTCATAAAGTTTTCATCAACAGTCTTGCAGAGTGCCTTTTGTTGCAACAAATCTTAACTCTTACAAAACTTAACCAATATTTAAAATACACATTTAATTTTCCTGTTGATGATAGCGATTGTGAACGTCTTTAAAATTCTATAAATAACTTAAATAATTTCTGGGTGAAGGCATACGGTCTACGGTTCAAACAGGTCAAAGGACATTAATACAGTATCCAGTGTTTTAATCGCAAATCCCGGGCAATGGGGGCTGTTTGGAAAGAAACACTAATGCCGATTTTTAGGCAATATTCTTATATGATTTTGTTTTGTTTTTCAACTAATGCTAGCCTTAATTTATAATTTTAAAACTTTTGAAGGGATTTATATTGGTGTCAGACAGCGTTTTAGATTCGACTCCCGAGAAGTGTAAGCGTCTGGCAATCTAATCTAATCAGATTTTACATTATAATAATGTCAATTTCTTCTCTTCCTCAAAGCCGTGAGCGTCCAATACTTAATGCACGTCTTACAGAAATATGAGCCCATTTTACAGAAGCGTGCTGCCAAGCAACAACAGACCAGCCACAAAAAAATGCATATATAAATATGTGTAGACACAAGTGTGCGACAAATCGAATCAAATCCAAGCGAATTAATCAAAATTCTTCTTTTCTCAATTCAGCGAATTTTTCTAATCAAAACTTGCTAATTATGTTGATTAATAAATGATGATTTGCCAATTACAGGATTTATGATATACGATAATCCATATAAAATATTTGAAATACTATAATGTAGTACAATAAGATCATTAAGTTTAGCCAATTGTATATTGTTAGCGTCGTGAATACGCCCATTTCAAAAATACCGTCTTTTCGTTTCTTTTGCTCATTCGCAGGTCGCCTTCCCCGGAGCCCATTTACAGTTCTGATGGCAAGCGTTTGAACACGCGCGAGTTTCGCTATCGCAAGCGCTTAGAAGAGCAGCGCCATCAGCTTATAGTCAAGATGCAGGCTGTTAATCCAGAGTTTAAGCCGCCAGCTGATTACAAGTAATTATATAAATTATAATTTTTAATTGCTACGCTAAACGGTTTCTCATTTCAACTTGCAGGCCACCTGTTACGCGTGTCAGCGACAAGGTTCTGATTCCGCAAGAGCAGCATCCGGACATAAACTTTGTGGGCCTGCTGATTGGACCTCGTGGCAACACACTAAAGGCCATGGAAAAGGATACCGGCGCTAAGATCATTATACGCGGTAAAGGCTCCGTCAAAGAGGGCAAAGTGGGTCGCAAGGATGGCCAACCTTTGCCGGGCGAAGATGAACCGCTGCACGCGTTTATTACAGCGCCCAATCCGGAGGCTGTGCGCAAGGCTGTTGACAAGATTAAGGACGTTATCCGGCAAGGCATCGAGGTGCCCGAGGGCCACAATGATCTGCGCCGCATGCAGCTGCGAGAACTGGCCCAGCTGAACGGCACGTTGCGAGAGAACGATATACAGCGCTGCACTTGTGGCTCTACGGATCACAAGTCTTGGCAGTGCCCCGATAAGCCGATCATAACCAACACCATTGTATGCACATCATGCGGCGGCACTGGTCACTTGACTAAAGATTGTCGTAATAAGCGTCCGGGCTCCGGTGCGCCGGGCATGGCCTGTGAGGATACCCAGGCCAAGATCGATGAGGAGTACATGAGCCTAATGGCGGAGCTGGGCGAGGGACCGCCGCCTTCCGCTGCTAAGGCTGATACGCCTGCCGCACCACAGCTGCATCGCGCTAGCTACAGCATCTTTGATAAGAAGCCGTCACAGATGCAGGCCATACAATCCCCACCCAACTCGTCACGCGATCATCAGCGCGAAATGGGCGGTGGTTGGGGCGGATCAACGCATGAGCATCAAATGAACATGGACCCAAGCATGGGCATGGAGCACGCTATGGGCTTGTCGCCATATGTGCCAGCACCACCTGTAGCGCAGGCACCACCAATGCCGCCACCGCTGATGCCTTGGATGAGTGCCCCGCAGCCGCCGCCACCGGCCTCTGAGCCCATGAATCCGCCAATACCGGGCACATTACCGCCGCTAATACCGCCGCCGCCTGGTACTAGTGCACCACCAATGCCACCATGGGCGAGCGGTTATCCTGGCTGGGGTACAGGTTATGTACCGCCACCTCCACCGCCGTGCGCACCGCCACCGCCATCGCTTAGCTTGTCGCAACCGCCACCGCCGCCGCCGCCATCTAACTGATCTTTTATGCATACCCCGCACATTTATAACTAGTGAACTATCACCCTTCTAATATCTATAAACTTCACACCTGAAAAAATTATGTAACTATTTAATTTGTATTTTATGCTTCATTAAAGGATTGACAAAATATTATGTTAGAGCTTTATTTAAAGTCTTTTTTGTGATGAATGTTGAATGTTCAGTGTAGTGATTTACCCATGCTTGCTGAAGTACTGCTTGGACTCCTCCACGTCTGGCTTGATGGTAGCCGGGTTTGTTTTTGGATTCCAATTGGCTGGGCACACTTCGCCATGCTCCTCGACAAACTGGAAAGCTTTAATCAAACGCAATATCTCATCCACGGAGCGGCCCACTGGCAAATCATTGATGGAGTACTGTCGCAAAACACCTTTGGGATCAATGATAAATGTGCCGCGTAGCGAGATACCCTCCCTCTCGAGCAGCACACCGTAATCAGCGGATATCTTCTTGGTAAGATCCGAAAGCAACGGATATTGAAGTTTGCCGACGCCACCATTCTTGCGATCCACATTGCACCAAGTCAGATGACTGAAATGCGAGTCAACAGAGACGCCCACAACTTCGGTGTTGATGTCCTGAAACTCCTTAATGCGTTCACTAAATGCAACAATCTCCGTTGGGCAAACAAATGTGCTGTAAATAAATGAAGAGTTGAGGAACTGCATTTGTTTATTGCAGATAACATGCTTACAAGTCTAACGGATAGAAGAACAGCACCAGATATTTGCCTCTGAAGTCTTCGAGTTTGATCTCCTGGAAGTCATTGCCGACCACCGCCAAGCCTTTAAAATCTGGTGCCGGCTGCTGCACACGCACGGCGCACAGTGCAGCAGCTAACAAGGGGAAAGATCGACGTGTTGAGTTTGTTAATTACATACAGATAGAATTTTTGCATACTCACTCTGGTGTAGCAGACGCGCTGTTTGTTTATGCTGACCAACAATGGCTTTGCTCAGCAGCGGCACCTGCAATGCATAATTAGCAGCATGTCACAAATTACGTAATCAAAATGGCATGTTTTTTAAAATCAGGCTGCATTTAGAAAGACACTTACATTGCGCAATAGTGTACGTCCGATGAAAGACATGATTTGGTTATTATTTTTTGTAAAAATTCAATTCGTCCGTAAAATATAACCGTTTAACAGTCGTCAACCTTAGACGAGCAATGAATAAAAACGAACCGGCATAAAACAAACTGAAAAATGACAATAAAAAGCAAAACAAACGACAAAAGCTTTTTAGCCGGTTGGCATCCCCGTTAAAGCTATCGCCGCTTCGCCTTACGAAAGCGGCTATCGGAAAATCATTTCGCCGCATTCCGGCGAAAATGTTGGAGCCAAAATTCAAACGGTGTATTTGCAAAGGTTTGCAAATGTACAAAGTTCATATAAATATAATAATACAAAAGTGCATAAATGAGCAACGCGTTTTTTCTTATCGAGTTCAAAGTGTATGCCGCGTGTCTTAATGCCAAAGATCTGCAGGAAGATAGCTGCTTGAAACTGCATGTTCAAAGTCCTATTCTAGTCGAAAAGATAATGGAAAGTGTAGCAAAATATTTATCACGCACTCCGCACGCCATACAATGGTAATGAGCTATAAAACGTCGGCAGCAGCATAAACCATAAGGCCATTGTATATATCTATATACATCTACACATTCTACTTAATACATATGCATTGATGTTGTTTTGTTTCTTAATCTAGTAATGCCCAAAAGCGGCTCAGGCTCAGCATCAGCCTCATTCGGCACACACATGAACACACGGCTAACAACAAAGTGAATTTCGGAGCATAGAAGAATGGCGTTTGTTTGTCTTTGGTTTGTGGTTCTGATGGTGTCGACGGGCCGAAAAACAATGCCAACTGCAGCATCCTCACTCATTCCTGATCTTGATGCTTTTGGGTCCTCCATGGTAACAATGGCCACTAGCAGCAAGGCGCTTGTTTTGCATATGGTAAATTGTTGGCAAAATATTTTCAATACTCTTCACTCCTAGGCATTCATAGTCCTTGAGTCCTGTCAGATTGATCAGACAACATCGAAACTGTCTATATATGTATATTTTTTTGTGCGCGTGTGTGTGTAATCAGCCCTCAGCTACAAGTTGGAGAGCTCCCAGGCGTATAGTTCCGGCGCCCCCGCTTCACTGTTTGCCCCCTACCGGCTTGTTTTCATCCTTTTTTACACTTTTCTCCGCTTACCATCTGTAATTAAGCTTAAAATACGCGTAACGTGCTAACAGCTTGAACTGCACACAGTTGGAGTGCTGGTAACCTTAGCATGTGCATCTAATATCTTCGGCATGGGGAGGGGCTAAGTAATTTTGTTCAACTGTTGATGCTTCACAGTTTCCGCGAAATTTCCCAACACGCTTGCCAAACTCTGAGCTCTGCACTAATTCTGTCAGTTAAGTCCGGGCTACGTTTACCAATTAAATTGCACGCCGCATTGTCTGTGAGGCTCGCTGCTCGACGCGCGCCAAACTATTCTCCTATCGTTTACAATCCCCGGCCCCGCTCGCTGGATTTACGTAGATTTACATAATTTAAACAAACAGCACTTGAAGCTTAGTCTCCCATGTGTGTACTTTGTTTATCTTACGAATAAGGATCGCGTGCAGGACTCGGGGCTTCTATTGAGGCGTTGTCGCCGTTCACACGCACCTCTCGGGCTCAGGTGCCGCTCTGTCTCAGATTCTGCCTGCCTGTGGCCCATTGTAGAGCAGATGCCGTCATATTAGCACAAATCTGCTTACCTTTTGTTGCCGGTCGAGTGCCGAGATTGGCCTAGATTTCGAGTTCCGCGTGCTCTTGATTCGTGACAATTGTCAGAGTACCTTCGTGATCTGAGCTGGAGCTGGTGAGAGTGTCCGCTTAGCACCTACTTCTGCCGCAACGCGTAATCTTGATGCAAATCTGGCTAATGTGATACGTATCGGACCAGGACATAGCTGTCTCTTTGGTTTTTTTTTTGTGCTGCTGTTCTTTTAACACTTTGGGCTGAAACTTGAGTTAATTAAAGGAATGTGCGGCGATCCTCTGTGGATCCTTTACATCTTGCACAACTATCGCAATGAATACGCAAACAGATATGTGCACCTTTTCCCTTTTGCGTGAGAATCGGCTTTTGTTACCAATCCCAAAATGGCCTGTCTGCTGTTATTTCTCGCGTCCTGCCAGCCAACAACACACGTTGAATTGCACTTTTACTATCATTTAAAGCTGTTAAGCTTCGATGCAATTATTGCGTCACAGTAATTTCTGTGTCATTTTCCATGGGTAAATGTGTGTACATGTGGGAGTAAGTTCATGTTGCATTTGCAAATTGCAATTTTATTTACGATTGTAGGTCATAAATAGTTTCCTTTACCTTAAATCCACATTTGTACCCTATATCTATAAAGAATAGGTAAATAGGGTATAAATAGACCCCGACCCCATTTATTATTGCTAGCCTCCTTTTTTGTAAACATATATACTTACAGCAATCAGAGACAACCAAAGTAGTTTATAGGCTCTCGTAGTGTATATTTGTCCAGTATATGGATACCACCCCACAATACCCGCAAAATTGTAAAATAATTTTAATCGTGAGGCCTGGAGCTTTTATATTTAAACACATTTGGATGACAAGTTTACGCACCAAACATTTCATAGCGATCCGACAATAAGCATCGAAGGTCTTCAGAAACAGTCTTTGGTTGTATTTTCTAAGTGGCCGATGACGCCCTTTTTTGGACGCTATAATAATCTAATGACTGCGACTGTAGAGTTAAAATCTCAATTAAAATTATAATCTCAAACGACAATTCTCAACATTTGAGATCATTTAGGCTTGGTGTATATGTATAGAAAATTATATAATATTTTTAGCGACAGTTCAGACCTATGGTCAGGGTATCTGCTAGTCGGACATACCCGACTACAATCTTTTTTTTTGTTAACGATTCTGCTAAATTCCCTTTGTTATTTATTCTGCTTGCGTAACGCAATCAACATGAGATTCAGACTCCAGATTCTATCAGGCACAAGTTATATATTTATTAAAATATTAAGATTCACACATATTGGAACTGTATATAAATCCATTTTTATTGCTTGTGAAAATATATTGTATTTTTTATATATCATAAAAATTATTTTATATATGTAAAGAAAGTGGTTGAAATAGTTGTACGGCAGTCAAGCACTGTGCTCCTGGTCGGACGTGCCCTACTATAACACACTTCTTCTTTAAGATAAGTTCTGTGAAGTTCCCTTTTAAATTTATTCCACTTGTACAAATATCAAATTACGATTTAGATTCATAGTACTTGATATTATCAGGCACATGTTAAATATTTATCCACATACATATATTCCATACATATTGCAACTGTATAGCCATTTGGTTGTTTGTGAAAATATATTGTATTTTTTGCATATACATGCATATATGTAAAATACATTCGAGTAAATATGCATATATCTCACGAAGGCAGCATTGCCTTTTGTTGTAGTAGTTGTTGTTGTTGCTGTTGTTGAACATTAAAATGGCGTGAAAATGATTACCATTGATTTATGCTTGCTTTACCAGTTAGCATTGTTGGCTGGAATGGCTTTTGTTGTAATTGTGGCCATCGCACAATTTGCGCAACAATTTGCGTACATTTATAAAAAGCGCTTTCGACCATTAATAATAATTGTTCTGATTTAAATTTTAATGGCAATCGCTGGCAAGCAATTGCAAATGTGTATGTGTGCATGTATGTGGATAGGTGTGTGCGATTGGGTCGCAGGCAAATGCATTGGCATTTGTTGTTATGTCCTTTTTTGACTATAACTTATATTTATGTCAATTAAAAACGGCTTACACTCGAATTTCATTTAAATAACAAGCAAATTGCATCTTCCGTGTGTGTAATTGTAATTGTGTAATTCTCGGAAAACAAGCTGATAATGGCTTACCTACATATAGCCTGCTCTCATACTGCACGCAACTCCCACTCAACTGCTGGCAATTTTAATTTAATTCAATTCAATTCAAATTGCTTTCAGACATTGCACACTTTTCTGAAAGCAATCGCAACAATTCAATCACTTTGATGTTTTGATGCCCACAAAACAGCGTCGACACCGCCATCAATGCCACCGCCTGCCGCTATGCCACGCCTCCCTATACGCCCAACTCGACAGTTAAGCGCTATAGTCGTCGCTTTTTTTTAACATCATTGCGATTGCATTCAGTGCCCCGCGCCGTCCTCGAGACTCGCAACAGGAGCCAGCAGCCAGGAGCTAGCAGCATGTAATTTCTTTAATGGTTTTCCACACCACGCCCACAACCTGACAAATGCCCCCAAATATGTGGACTAAAAAACCAGCACGGAAGCCAAATAAGGTGCAAAATTTATAGATAAAATGAGGCGAGTGGCGAATTTTGCGAAACTACACATGAGATATTTCAGGCTGTGTTAAATTATGGGTATTCTCAGTTTGTATATATATATTAGGTATATATAGCGACTACAAAAATTAGTTTGTAAGTTCTTAGAGTTATTTGTTTGTAGTTTCTATTTCTGTTATTGGGTAGAAACCATAGAAATATTTGTCTCTTTCATTATTACAAATATTAACATGCTATTTTATTGTAGTCCATCAATAATCTTATAATGGTTTCTAGAAACCTCCGAGCATGTTTTCAGTGTGATTATGAGAAGATCTAATATTCACAATTTCAGAAATCAAGAAATTTCAGGACATCAGTTTTGTTTTTTAAGGTAGTAACAATACAAAATTACAGCCTTTTTGATACGTTAATAAAATTCAAAAAGCTTTCAATTACTTTAGATGATGACATCCTTTATAATCAATTCAAATTAAATTAATTATACCACATATGCAATCGGCATAATTGTATCCATATAGAGTTTTAGAAATACCTGTGAGATTTCTTATTGCTTCCTTTTCCTGTTTTTGCATTGTTTCACTGAGCAAAGACATATGATAATATCTCTTATATCATTGCTAGAGTAGTTGGGTTTTAAGGTTGGGTTCTCGAATGGTGGCCCCCCTTTTTATCTAAGTTTAACCTTAACTGTAACATGTTTACATTTTAATTATATTTAGCTTGAAGGCTTTTTATTGTGCAACTTTCGTAACAACTTCAGCTACCGGTGTGCTTTGTGCTTATATTATTTGTGTGTGTGCGGCCTA